TACCATCGACGAATTTATCTATTTTGTAGCTTACGTTTAAATTGTTTTTGAAGTCGTAGAAATATACCATAGTGTCTCTTATATCGAGGTCTACTTGTTTGTTGTGGTTACCTGTTAAAAACAATAGACCATAAAAATCTCTAAACTTGACTTAAGTTTTTACTGAAAATAAATATTGAATACAAGAATTAAGTTTTTTCTACTTACAAGTTATCAAATCAGAGTACAACAACGCCTGGAAAGGTCCCCAATCACTTTGTACGTTGACAAAAAATATACAAACAACGAAATAAAACCAAAACATTTTGATAACCTCTCACACGTCCGACACATTTGGGACTCAATTTACGAATGTGTATGTAATGAATCGTATACACAAATGTATGTTGAGAATTCGCACATTATTTTATAAGTGGTGCAGCAAACATAAAACGGAGATGCTATTTTTGGTGTTAACTACAGAGAGTAATAAATATCATCATCAGCTATACGTCCCCACAGAGGGGCCCGGATACTATCCTAAATTAAGAGTGATTAGGCCATAGTCAACCAGGCTGGCCCACTGTATCCCCTGGCACCCCCGCTCAGACGTAGGAGAGTGGGGCGGAGAAGGCGGCAGTATATCGCCGCCCTCCCCCTCTCCACAATAGCCCTCTGGTGATGGACAGTCCATCACCGGCGACTGAGCTACCTCGGCAACTGGCGCAGACGGGGCCGCGGACGAGAGCGTAAGCGTGCCCGTGTTCCCGTCCCGATGCGTTGGAGGAAAAGAGAGGTTTAGTGGGTATGCCTCCGCTATGGAGGAGAATCCCACATAACTACCGCGGCCTCCCCGGGGCGCGGAGTATTCATAAAGCATTCCTCTCTGGAAAAAAAAAGCCTGGCCCAGTGCGGGTTGGTCGACTTCATCTTTTGAATTTCTTCTTAGATGTGTGCAGGTTGCATCACGATGTTTTCCTTCACCGTAAGTAATAAATATGCTTTGCTAGTAAATTATTTTGAAACTTAATCTGGCTTATCAAATTTAGAAATGTATAATGGTTACTACATGTTTATTTCATAAGATGAGTATACATTTGGAGTCTACTTAAGTAACATCTCTTACCGCGGGTTTCTGGGACTAAAATCCAAGTGTAAGAATATTGTTATCTCTGTTTTCTCAATGATTTCATAGGATATTTTTATAGATTTTGGTCTCGAAAACCAACAATTAGTATGTATATCAGACCAAATAGACTGGACTACAAGTACTTTAGTGTTTTAATTCGATAAAAACGCTAACAACTTGATCACCTATCCAACTATAGCGATGTTAACTAAAACGACCTTGGCTTTGAATTACAATGTTCGCATTGTTCATCTTGCTATTGTGTTCACGTAGTTAATTGTTTGTACAAACTTACGTACAAACAGTATTAATATAATATTATATAGATTACGAAAAGTAGCTATCGCCTGGCTCCGTCAGCGAAATTTATAAAAAAACTTATTAAGTAGCCTATGTGTTCTTCCAGGCTGTTTTACATCTTTGCCAAATTTCAGCGAGATTCATTCAGCCGTTCTAGTTTCTTATAACAAACATTCATCCATCCACCCATCCAACAATAAAACAATAACAATTCGCATTTATAATATTAGTAACCTTAAAGATATAGATCTGCTAACTTTCCCCTAAGATTAATTCTAACCAGTCAGTGTCTTAATGCTATAAATAGTTTATGAGAAAAAAAATTGTGTAACTCGTTCTAATCGTTAGTCTTTTATTTAACAGTAATATAAATGAACTTTAAAAATAATCAAATCGAATTGTGAACATTGTAAAAGATAATGTAACATTGTATCTTTAATTAATGTAAATAAAAAATAAAAGGCAATTAAGCTTAAAAAGGGTATACGCTGGAGAGCGAATGTAAAAAAAATCTATTAAGTGTGAAAACAATAGGGGCGGGTAAAATAATCCATTATCCAACTAGTAATTAACTCGTAATCAGCCGGGGGGCGATCTGGAACTTTGAAATTGACTTTTCTGTAGCGCGCTCGTTTATCTTGATCCTTTAAGAGTGATAATTACTGATTCAACACACCTTCAGTCCCAAGCGGGGAATACGGGAACTAAACTTGAATTTACAATGTGGCAATTTCAGAACGAACTTACAAAGATATATTGTGAGATTGTAACTCTGTCGTTTGTTTTAAACAGAAGTTTTATAGAAATATATAAAGAAGATTGTACGATCATGTAACTAGATTACTGGATATTGTACTTGCTTTTAAGAAATAAATAATTTCTTATTTCGACTTCTTACTCATTATCATATCGTCATATAAACACGGCTAAACACTCACGTATATTCGTCCGGTGGCGGCACCGACTAGTTTCGACCCCATCGGGGGCCCTTCATCAGGATGAGTGGTACTGGTATCATTTCGCGGACGCGGCCCGTCGCTCACTGAGTTTAGCCGTGTTTATATATCAGTTTAGTATAATGTCTCACGAAAGTTTGAATAATTTAATTCTTACTCATCTTACTAATATTATAAATGTATGGATAGATGTTTCAAGTTATTTCCAGAACGAGTGATCAGATCTTGATGAAATTTGGCATACATATAGCATATAGTCTGGAATAACATATAGGCTACTATTTTTTTTTAATTTCGTGCGGATGGAGTGACAGGCGAATGCTCGTTAAATTATAAATCAAAAACTAATTAATAACTTTTCGTTAGTGAAAAAAATTATAAAATGAACCGGTCTACTAGTTTTGGTATTTCAACGTGTCTATTAAATTTGAAACAGCTTTCAGGAATTTCAGTCTGGCACGTCGGATCCGCTGTCGATGCTTTAAAAAGATATAAAAAAAAAGTATCCCGGGTAACGCGAGCTCACGATCCTTTTATCAAAGTAACAATGTCTTGTATCGATTTATATATATTTCTAGCCGTGAAATTCATCGTCTCTATTTTTTTGTTAAAACAATGAAAGAGATGGTTATATGTTTTTTGTTTCGAATTTTTTTAGTAAAGTTAATACGAAATGTATTATTTAGAAATGTATACGGTCCTTTACAATATTAACCTCCGTTTTCATTAATTTCAATGCAAACTTTAAAAGTTCACGTCAATCTAAATAAAGGTTTTATTAAATTTCGTGAGCGGCTGCGATAGAGCCCGCGTTCGCGTAATGTCTTATACCTCATCCCCGCAAAGCCTTTAATCGCAGTGGACTTAAACAAGTTTAGCTTTTGTTTGGCGTCTGTCTGTTTCACTAATCTTTAAATCTTTTAATATAAATTAGCTTAAGTATATAAAATAAAGCAATATTAACTTATATTTTTATTCGCTTCATTTAGGTTGTAAAGCTATCTTTTATTTTTTGAGAAAATATTTTCTGAAGATTTTTGTTAATTTACTAATATTTGTTGTACTATTCCAACTAAGCTCTAAGCTTGTGCTAGGACATTGTTTACGTCAATAGTCGAACGACGGGATTCAAACCCCTGTAGGTTCGGAAAACCGTACCCTTAACCATTAGGCTATTGACGGTTTAGGGATTCCAGTTTTATAGTTTATAAGTACTATGATGAAATCCACACAAATGAAATCATTATAAAATAACGATAATAATGACAAAAAATGAATGAATTTCTTGAGCCTTCATCTTAAGAATTTTTTCACATAAATATTATTTATTACAATGATTTACACACTGAGATATATTTGGTGTACGTGGGCGAGTTTGGTGGTGCGATAACAAAAGAGAAACGTTGATTACCTCCTTATCATAATAAAAGTGAATTATGTAAAATATTCCAGCCGCTGAGACAGTCACGTTTACTTTCCACGAAAAAAAAACTGATGTCAAGTAAAATGTCTTTATACTTATAGCAAAAAATAAAAGTGTTTATGTATAAAATATGATTGATAAAAAATACAGACGTATTGATGAACTCGTTCTTTTTGTAGTCGGCTGAAAATATGAACCAAATCGTTTCCAAACACTAACGTAAAGGTCAGAAATATATATTTAGTAAACAAGCGTTTGGTAATCATGTAGGCTTTTCCCATTCCAAATGGTTTCTATAATAAGATAGACAAAACTTTTATATTACTTCTGTTTCATTTAGAAATCTGAATCTGGTTAAATAACTGAGGTCTGCATTCTCATTTTCTAGTAAATAACAAGAACATAATGTCAGTGACAACTTACGTCAACTAAATTACGGTAGCTTCCGCATTTAATCCGACATTTTGTCACAACTGTAAAAGCTTACTTTTATAGTAATCACTTATAATAAATAAGAGCTCGGTTAGTATTAGCCTTGCAATAAAACTTTTTTAGCAACACGCTCACCAAAACGACGTCCATTACAAAAGAAACGCCTCGGCGGCAATATTTCGTGTAGAGATACGCCTAATTTCCTGCGAGACTGGCATTCCGTCCTAATATTCGTCGTAACAAAAACCCACCCTTTGTGACGCGTCTTTGCATTAATCTCGACGCGTCTACCCCGCGTCTACCCCGCATATACCCCGCGTCGCCCGGTGTGATTCCCTGCCGTCCCTTTCACAATTCTAAAGGGCAAGGTTACACAAGCCATTACTTTTTCAAAAATTCATTAATAATCATTTAACGTTTAATTCAATAGAACAGCAATCATAAAACTAACAATGCTATTGGACTAGGTAATAAAGCACTAATTTTACTTTAAAATGATAATCTCGTTGATATTCCATAGCTTTGCATCTAAGTTATAATTTCACAACTTCTTTCTATCTATTGTTACTACAGAAAAATTACAAACAAGACTATTTATTTTGTCATTAAAGGCCCATTGATAATATTTACTTTTAAAATCTATATTTATATACTTTAGTGTAAACACAACCTTAGTGTATGTGATAGCATCGCCCAATCTCCGATTTTTTCGCGTTACGAATGCTTTCAAAACGCTTTGTTTACACCAAGAATACCAAGGAAGTGGAAGGAAAGAAATTTCTTAAAACGTATATAATATTACGCATATGAAATTCATAAAAATTTAAAAACATTTGTGTTGAATACGTCGCTATACAAAAAAATACATCGTAAACCTATTTCTATGAGTTATACCAACGTTTGGTAATACGCAATATTATGTATATTATTTTTGTTATTTATATTGCATTTGCAATTCCATTTAATTCCATCGTAAATAAAATACTTTTGCATCAAATTCAAATTTATATTTTGAAGGTTTTATTTTTAAAAAATAACTAAAAAAATCTTCATTGTGAACTATATTTTTTTTCTTAATGATGGTAAATCAAATTTCTGTACTAGTTTCTAAAAGGAAATCGGCTTGCACGCTCGCTCGGTTCCTTCACGCTTGCCGAAGCCCGCTTATTAAAAAGGTCGGTCGCGGGAAAAAGGGACAATAGGTCTATAGTTCCGGCTTTATTGGTTAATATCCGACCTCATAGTTCTCGGACTACGGAATTATGTACAGGAAATGTACGACTTTATTTATATTAAGTCGCAATTCGACTTTGTGGGGATTATTATGTCAAATTCATGCCTTTTATTTCTTCATTTTTTGTTGTTCTTTTAATCAAAAATAAAAATAATACTTTGTCTATGATCATAAATCATAGACAAAGTATTATTTTTATTTTTGATTGAAAGTTTTTTTTATTTTATGACCTGGTTACATATACCTTTTGGTCATTAAAAATAGTTTGATGCACTCTTTTCCCAGATTAGCTTTAGCAGTGTTAGACAGAGTAGGTAACAACTTGGTGTTAAACGCGTCCATTAGTTTGTGCAATATATTTAAAAAGGAATACAGTTATTTTCGATTCAAATCAAAAATGATATTCAATGATTTTAGTAAGTAAATTATATATTTTCTACAGTATTTTTACTATTCAGATAAAATCCTTGATTTGTTTACTAAATTATTTGCTTTTTAATACAGTGTAATTTTTTTCAATTCTGTGAGGTCGTGGTACTTCAACAGGTGAACAAAATCGGGTAGAAATTTTGGGGCTTCTACTTTATGGATTGTTAAGTAATAACCAAACTTTTAAATACTCATTTATTAAGGTAAATAATAATTGTTTTATTTTAAACACAATAAACATATTTTAACAAAAAAAATATCACAAAAAAATAAACATGCTTCTATCTTTATTCCGTTGGTTTAAGTTCTAATTCCGTTTCAGTATGCGTACATTTCGGTTGCACACTAGCGCCGGCATTGAATCTGGTCACAGCTGTTGTATGTATGTCAGTTAACTCCAGAACTACAGGTTTAAGGAATGTTCCGAGCCACTCTTCAACGCTCCTCTTACCAGTTATTTCATGAAGCAGTGGAGTCATCATCTCTTCCAGTTCCAACACGTCGGATAATAAACTGAAAAAAAAATCAAAGAGGTTTTTATGGCAATGTAGTCAAAGATTACCTAATCACAATTATACAATCATAGAATAACAAAATGATGGAGTAACACAATTAAAGAATAATAAAATCATAGAGAAACCAAAGAGTATATAAAATAAGAGACTAACAATCACAGAATAACAAAATCATAGAGTAACACAAAGAATAATAAAATCATAGAGTAGCAATCATGGAATAACACAATCATAGAGTAACACAATTAAAAAATAATAAAATCATAGAGTAGCAATCACAGAATACCATCATGGTCACACAATTAAAGGATAACAAAATCATAGATTAACACAATGAAAAAGTATTTAATCAAAAAATAACAAAAAAGTACAATAATCATAGAGAATAAAATCATTACATTTTGTTTAAAGGTTAAATTCAATCAAATGATACATACTGCTTTGAGAACTGCATGATGTTCTGAACTTGCAATGGATTAGTGAATTCGTTGTCTATTTGCCATTTATTGAGCCATGTTGCTACTCTGTAACAGATATTTCTCTCGTTTTAATACCAAATTACCCAATCGCTTCCACAACCGAAGCACACACAAAAAACAGTCTTCTCTGAAAAAAAAACAAATATTTTTAAATGAATGATTCGACAGAGGAACTATTATTTTTTAAAAATGAAATAAAAAGACGTGTAAACACAGACTGGTCTCCATGTATGAAGCTGAAGCAGCGTTCTTTGAGGACAACGAAGCAATGCACCCAGCGCGCCAGCTCCCCGCCCGGCCACTGCGGCTCCGGGATCACGTCCTCCACCTCTGTAATACAAATGTACATACATTAATTAACTAAAACATCCATACAAACACGCATTTATATACATGAATTAAAAAAAATAGTAAGTTATGTGTTCTTCCATACTACTTTCTACATCTATGCTAGATTTAAGCCAGTTAAACCGTTCTGGAGATAATAAACATCCATCCATTCATCCATGTAAAATTTCCTGTTCATAATATAGAAAGTTTAGATGGATGAATTGGATGGATGTATGGATGTTTGTTAAAAGGTACCTCTAGATCGGATGCATAGTTCTCGCTGAAATTTAGCATAGATTTAGAACATAGCCTCGAACAATACATAGACTATTGTTTTTTTTAATTTCGCGGGGATTTACCTGGTAGTATGGGATCTCTTTTGAAAAAATAATTCAAGCAACATTTAAGAGAGGGGAGAGACACAGGTAAAAGTTCACACAGTGTTGAATAGTGGTCATATCTGCAAGTAAAATTATTATTATTAGCTAAACAAAATAATTAATAACCATGGTTTTATACATTTACATATTTAACTGTGGGTTTCTGAGACCAAAATCCTCGTTTAACATGTCATCCATGTTTTATCAATGATAATGACAGAGATATGTTTACAGAGATTTTAAACTGATATAAACACGGCTAAACACTCACGTATATACGTCCGGTGACGGCACCGACTAGTTTCGAGCCCATCGGGGGCCCTTCATCAAAGTGAGTGGAACAGGTATTATTTCGCGGACGAATATACCGGAGTGTTTAGCCGTTTTTATATCAGTTTAGTATAATGTCTCACGAAAGTTTGAATAATTTAACAAAGATTTTAGTCTCAAAAACCAACAGTTAATAATTTTTTTTCAAATATCAGCTCGTAACATCGTACGAGTCCTTACAGAACACACTATTAATTATAGTAGGGAGAACTTTCTTACAAAGTTCAAGGTCATTCACCAAAAACATTGAAACAATGTATACTAACCCATAGAATTTTATTTTTAAACATAATCGAAGTTATGACATTGTACAGTTATTTGAGTAGTAGAAACGTACGGTTACCTTGACCATCCAGTTAATATGATACCAACAAAATCAAAAGAGAATGCATTCTTCTCAATCTCACGCAGCCAGCCGTGATGGTTGCTGACATATCTACTGGCTGGCGATAGCACCTGCAATTTAAATCACAAATATATATTAATACTAGCTGTCGCCCACGACATCGTCTGCGAGGGATTTAAAAAATTGTAGCCTATATGTTCTTTTAGACTATGTTCTACATATGTGTTAAATTTCAGCAAGAGCCATGCAGCCGTTCTGCAGATGCCGTCTAACAAAAAAAACATCCATCCATCTATTCATCCATATATCCATCCAAACAGGAAACCGGACCGGACCGGAGAAATGCAAAAGACAAACTCTAGTGGAAGTTTGGTCCACTGAGTATGAATCCAGAGGTTTAATTTTATTCTTCTTTCCCTTTCTTCTCTTCTTTTTCTTTTTCATAATTATAGAATATCGAAAGTAGCATTGAATTCATACCTGAGATCCACCATTGGCACCTTTAAATGCTGATGCGATCCAAACTTTGGAAAATACATGTCTGTATGTCTCCCACATGTTTGGTGTCAATTCAAAGCAATGTCCCTGATTGTAATGCCATACCACAGGCTGGACTAGATCACCAAGGTTATATGCTGAAATCATTTAAAAAATCTTAATAAGCAGCCTATGTGCTCTTACAGACTATGTTCGCGCAATTTCCTTAAAAAGGGGTATATAACTTTATGTAATTTTACTTATATACATTTATTTATTAATGCGAACGTTTAGATGGATGGATGTTTGGAAGCTCAACAGTTCTTGTTGAAACTTGATATAAATATACAATGTAGTCTGGAAGAACACATAGGCTACTTGTAATTTATTTCATTAGCGCAGTATAGTCAGGGGAGACAGCTAGTATGATAATATAGACATACCTTTCAATACTTCATATTTCATAGTGCGCAGCATATCCTCCCACATAAGTACAATCAAATCTGACTTCTTTTCCTTTATAAATAAGATAACATTTTGTATGTGTTGTAGATACAATGACACTGTGCCGTGTTCACTACTTGCAGCTACACTTTTACATTCATCACAAACTCCGGAGTGCCATACCTGGAAATTAAATTATTGCCACTACTTGAAATAGTTAATTTTAACAAAAATCTCACATTAAAAAGACTATTGGTTATTCCAACTGAATATTGCCTAAATACTTATGTAATTTAGAATTTCAATAGAAAAGAGGTTACATGAAGGTTCATATTATACTTAAAAGGATGCTTCAACTAATATGTATATATTTTTGGTTTAAATAAATTACTATTATTATGTTAATATTCCACCTCATCAGCCCCGATATGTATATATTTAGCATCAGGCTGTGCATCGATCACTTGCTGCAACATAGTAGTCACAAGTTCCAGAGACTCCGGTTTAGTCGGACAGAGTACAGCTGGAGAGTGTGGTGCTTCCCGCAGCTTACTATGTGCTGGGTGCTTCAACACAAACTCCAGATGACCTATAGTCTGAATTAGTTGGATCTAAAAAAAAAATAATAATGGTACAGTTGAACATTTGCTATATTAATTAAATTATTTGTGTAAAAAATACAAAATTAACCAGATGATCTTTAATTAAAGATTATGAATATTAGCTAAGTTGGTAAAGCTAGTTAATAAAGCTTTAGGAAACCTCAGCAAAAAGAAACCCAATGAAGCATATCTTGCCTAAAGTATTCATGGCATGAAAAAGTTGTGTTGGCCAACAATAAATTCTTTATGAACAGTTTAGACAAAATATGTATTTCTTAACTATTTGATACACACATAAGCTGCTAGTGTTTTACCAAATAATATTAAAATAACTGCTATTCTCAATTTATTTTGGTTTAACAAACCTCTTTACTATTGATAAAACAAAGATGATGAGATTGGCTATATACTTTTTTAATATATTGACAGATGATATTTATATATAACTCTACCATTGTATGCACATGTGTGAAGGTCAGTCTTTGGTAATGATTTACTTTGCATTAGAAAAGCTGTTTACCATCTTAGAAATGTTTATGAGATTCTTTTCTTTTATAATACATTTTTGTTTAATACTTACTACTTCCAAACCATTTTCTTTGGCAAGTCTAAATATAGTTTGAACATCATCAACACTGTATAAGCCATCGCCTCCACACCCATTAGTACTTCTTTGGCTGCCTATATCTTTTAAGTTTGAAATGTATGGGAATGTATCTTCCCACTCCAAAAGTATTCCTGTAGCACCCCATGACTTTATGCTTTTGAAGACCTTAAAATACATTAAAATTGTAATTTTCTTTGTTACAAAACTACGCAGTATTTTAATGACAAAACATACATTCATGAAGAAAACATCGCAAATTATTTTAGGCCCATTATTTCTATTGCATTGTTAGTAACTGAATAGAATGTATTTAAAATATACTTACTGATGCCAAATAGTCAATTTTCAATGGAGCACCTTTTAAATCAAAATGAACAATCCTAGAAAATAAAAACAAAATTGCATGATTTAGTTGTAAATTGCATTTCACCGGCTCACAGTCGTTTTTCCACTTTTTATCTAATCGATACTAAAATTATCAACACTAACCCATCCATATTTAGCTGCAATTTTCATTTATAACTTAATATCTACTTTTTATCCATTAGTGATACGCGAGACTTTTATGCGTACATTTTATTTATTGCAATGTTTGCAAATAAATTTTGGTTTGACGTTGTCATTGTCAAATGTCATAGTGTTTTTCCTAGCTTTTAACTGATTTCCAAAATGGATATGGATAGGCAATTGCTAGAAAATGACAGCTTTTGTTTCGGTCCGATTTAAAGGTGCCTGTTGAGCTTAAGTGACAGTTAATTCAATCTAACATTAGTTCGAATCCACACCACCGCCATACGCCGCTACCACCAGCGCCTGGCCAATGGCGTAAATCAAATAGCCGCAAAATTCTACATCTTTTAGCCAGTCCATTTATATAAAGGTCAGTGTTATGGCCTAGTTACTAAACCTTTAAGTCAAGTCTTATTATAACGGCATGTTTTAAAATCACATTGATATTGCTATTTTTCGTAAATGTTATTTGTTTTTATTCTTAGGTCTAGATCAAAGCCCTTTAAAATAATCTATTTTTATATCCGATATCAATGCGTTATAGCTAAAAATATATATTTCTTGATTTATTCGTTTTATTTCAGTTTAAATCTGTTTTCAAATTCTTCCCTGCAATGAAAAATCAACTCATGGCTTAACTCATTTTGATAACGGTTTAAAATCTCACGTGGCCATGATGTTTCACCAGGCTCTAAACACAGCAACTTACAAAATTCGAAGTCTATTAAGGACAACGGATCACAAGGAAAATTTACTGGAGGTTACTTGCCATGTTACTGGAGATTTGCAATATACTGTTGAAGAATGAAATAAAAGCAATTCAAATGTAATTCATGAAAATTTAATGTCAAATAAACCTAGAACAAGAAAAATCTACCAAACCATAAAAACTCATACACATAGGTAGATTTTTCGATGATCTTAAACTACAATACTTCAAAATTTCTAACACAAGTTGAAATGGACTGATTAATTATAAATAAATTGGTATTTATGTGGCAAGAATTTGGTTATTTTTTTTTCGGAAAAAAAGGTACAGTATGTATTTTCAAAAATCTTAACTATTCTATTAGAAATATATTAAAACACGTACTGTATACGTGTAATAATTATGTATGAATAAATAAATTTGTAATTATAGTATACAAACTATCAAATAAGATTACATAAATATTTTAAGTATATTTTCACACTTTATTTCTAAATATCGAGTAAAACACAATTAAACTATCGTAAAAAATCGCAGTGTCAAAAAGCACATAGCAAAGAGTTTTTAATTCTATCTTATAATACTAATGGGCTATAATAATTTTAATTCCGGGGTCTGGTTCTCCGGCGGCATCCTTCGCGAGCGGTGCATTGCCACAGATACGGAAGTTTTTTGTATATGGTATCACTCCGACGAGCAGACCAGAGACAACCACCCATATACCGGCCACGTAGAACGCCGCATCCCAATATCCAGTTCTGTCTTTTAGAGCACCTAAGAACAAAAAAAATTAATTTAAAGTAATGTAGTCTTCAAATTAATTACTTTATGATAAACTAGCTGTCTCCCTCAACTCTGTCCACGCGGAATTAAAATACTATGCCAAACTCCACATTACCAAACATCGAAACATACGCATATATAATATTAGTGAAATAGGGTCGACATTTCAACTAAAGCCTAAACTATTCTATAAGCTATAAGGAATAAGATATTCCTAAGTATAATTCAAACTGAGAACTGTTAAGAACTATGAAAAAGTAAACTCACCAGCCATAGGTGGGCCAATGAGATGTCCCAATCCCTGACATAACAGCACCAGACCATAAGCCATCGTGAAACGCTCGAGAGCGATTAATTCAACGAGGATGCTGGGTGTATACGAATAAGAGCTGGAGAATGTCAAGCCAAATATCACTGCATTCAGCGCCAGGATGTAAAAACTATAAGTTTCATTAGCGTCAGTCACACGAATTAAAATTGGAAACAGCAGTATTGTGAATCCGCAAACAATGAGACATAATGCATAGGTCTTCGTCACATTCACCCAAGGCAAATCTCCCATCCAACCGAGACCGACCTGTAATCAAACAACACAGATAAGATTGTAAAATACAATCTCGGTTAAACAAATTATCACAAAGGTGTGTCTAGTTTTGATGATACCGCGGAAATCAAACGCCACGTGTAACTATGTTTGTAACCTTAACAAACGTAATCTTTTATAACCCTAAACAAATATATAAGTAAATATTACTTTAGTTAAAAATAAATATTTTTTGTAGTTACTAATTTATTTTACTCAAAACTTTATGTCCAAATCTATGTTTAGAACATACTGTTATAAATTGAAGCGTTTCATCACATTGACATCAATTGGGTTAATAGCAATAGTAAATTAATAATTCGGCTAAATAATAATAATAATATATTCGTCCTTGGAGTTGCATATACAATAGTAACTTGAGGCGTTTAAATATGTGAGCAACACAGATTATCATCATCAGCTCACTATACGTCCCCACCGAGGGGCTCGGAGCCTACCCTAATTTAATCTGTTGTGATGTGATTTATCTGTCTCTCTCTGTCTTTATAGATATATTATCTGTTATTAGGCATCACAGATAATATTTAGAAAATTATTGCCAGTCCACATATGTACCATAGACAATTTTTTATTGATCAAGCAACATTGTAAATCTGCATTGCGTTTTTTATTGTCAATCATACAAAAACTTTATGAGCATTGTATTACAACTGTCAACAAAAGATTAACATACGTGATAGCACACAATCTTATCACAGGCAACAGTAATTTTAAATATACATCTATATAAACAGCATCTGTATTATAAGAGATGATGTACATTTATGTAGGCACAAAATGTCTGACATCATTTATTTATTTTTAGGCTGGTGACAGTTTTTAAATATTTAACAATATGTTAAGACTAGTCGTTCCGACATAAATACTGTCTAAAGTTAATTAAATCTATTTTTTCAATATTTATATTTGTTTAATGTCTAAAATACGTAACTATGTTTTGGATGACTATGCGATCTGCTGCTTTTTTTTAATAAATACATATGTATTTATGTATATGTAATAGAAAATAATTTTGTTAATACTTACAATGCCAATAATAGTGGCAACACCAAATATACTGAGCATAAGGGAGCCTTGTGTTTCAGAAAATCCATTCATCGTCATAAAGTTAGCTATATAGAAGTACGGTACAATGAACCAAATGAAGAGCACCAGAGTTGATATATTCATCATCAAAAAATGAAACTCAGTGAACATATTAAAATCAAATGTCTTGTTGAGCATGGTAAGGAAACGTTGTGTTCTTGTCTGAAAATAAATAAAAAATAAAAACCTATTACTTCTGGGTTAAAAGTTTAGATAACATTATGTACGGATGATAACTGTAGCTTGTATAAATAAACATACATTGTTGTGTCCGGGTTCATTTTGTTTAGTGGCAGTAATCTTTCTCATTCACCTCTCTTTTCATTTTTATGTAAAGGTTGGCAATGCTGTAGTTTTCTAAATGTCGATATCTAATCACTTAAAATTAGGTGAACCTTCGTCGCTTTCTTTGTGCAAAAATGACACTTAAAAGGAATAAAATTTAAATACTTATTTTAATCAAAAGGGGATAGTATTGAAAATTACGTACCTTTTCTTCTTGATCTTCTACAGACCACATAGAGTTCCTGTATATATCTGGACAAGAAGACGCGCGCAACTTGTATTTGGCGATGTTCATCATGGCACCACGATGCATAATTGAGTTTCTGTGCACCCTAATGTCTCGCAGGTAGTGGTGGTCCGTGTGGAACTGCCTCGTAAACCAATCCTGGCGATCATTCCTTGGCGCAATTATGGCCGGCTTGTTCTCTGGTATCGGCTGTAGCAATTGATCACGAACCTGATCCAGTTTCGTCTCGAAAGCTTTCTTTTCCTTCTTCTTGTTAAGCTTCAGTTTCATTGACATCATCACTGGTTTCGCCTTCGACACTTCAGGCACCGGTTCGATGGCCAGCTTCTGCTCAGAGTTGCTTCGCAGAGCCAGCAGAGAAGGATAGTTCGTTAAAATTATGTTATACAGGCGTTTATTCGCTACCAATTGATCCAAAACTTCAGCTGGCACCTTTTCACTTTGACGTAAGAATGTAGGAAGATTTATGACAGAACTCACTTTGTTATGTTGCGAAAGATCCGCATTCATCTTTGTAGCAGCTTCCAAAGATTCCGATTGAGCGATAGATGCTACTAAGGTCGTTAGAATATACTCCGGTGTTTCCCCGCTTTTCATCAATGTTTTCAATTCCTCCACGCCCGGGTAGACGGATTCGCCGCCTCCCGATTTCGCTGACACGGACATAAAACTAGAAGCTCGTTTCGCTTTACTCAATTGTCTGGTTTTCTTCTGTTCCAAGATCAACCATTCAGGATCTCTCATAACAGCACCGCATACGCAGACGTTAAGTACCGTACCGGCGAGCAAAAGAAGCGCTCCCCTCCACCCGAATGCTTCCAATAAGTACGTAGTTAAGGGAGAGTAGATAAAGGTTCCGAACCCGACCCCGCAAGATCCCAAACCTACTGCTAAATTTCGACGTTTCTCGAACCAGTAGGCTATCGAAACAACGGCCGTGACGTACAGTAACCCCATGCCCAAGCCTGCGATGATACCGTACGTGACATATAGCGTCTCCACAGAATTACAGAACGCGGCGGCCACAAATCCAACGGTTGCGGTGACGCCACCCACAATTGTCATACTCCGACATCCGTACCTGTCCACTAGGGCACTCATTATGGGGCCCGCGATAAGTGGAACAGAAATGAACAAGCTTCCAATTAGCGAAGTTTTAGCTTCGCTCTTTTTGAAGAATCCCACGAACTCGTTGTGCATGAGACCGTAGGAAAAGGCGAGGCCGTCGGCCACGGTAGCGATGAGGAAGGAGGACGCCACCACGACCCATCCCCAGCCGCCGTCGGGGATCTCGGGTGGCTGCTCCACTGACGCCTTGCTCGAGCAAATGCTGTCAGCATCACCCAAACCCAAGAACTTGACGCCTTCATTAGTCGACTTCGTGTCGTCTTCATTATTCTCATCTTTGCTATAACTTACGGAAAGGTGATTCGATTTTTTCTCATCGTCTCCGTCCGTCTTCATAGAATTCACTGTATTCAAATCATTCTTAGAC